TGTGTGTGTGTGTGTGTGAGAGAGAGAGACAGACAGACAGACAGACAGAGAGAGAGAGAGAGAGAGAGAGAGACAGAGAGAGTAGATGGGATACGGTTATTTGCCTATGATTTATGTGCAAAGCCAAGACCCAAACTGTCACGTCGCCGACACCAGGTCTCCTAGTCCGCGCCAATAGATAATTCGTCCCGATTTTCAGAACGTTGGTAACAAATGTAAATGGCTTTCCCTCCTCTCTTGAGATTGCATGACAAGACGAGACACAACAGAGCCAGTACTCACCCTGACAGGGAATCATCCAGTAGCAGCAGCAACAGACGAAGATCACACACAAAGCATTGACAGCCGCCCTCATCCCGGATTTTGTCACGTGATAATAGAAGTCTCTACAGATTCCTTTTGCCCCTTTCACGAGACACTTGCTAAGCCAACATCGAAGGGACTCTCAATTCTGCAGTTCTGGTGGCCGGCCTCCCCCAGTTTGTAAGATCTCACAGAACTCCAGAAGAAGGGGGGAAAGTGTCGCGGGGTGGGGGGTGTCTGAGAGATCACAGCGTCCAGAGAATCAGCATTTTTTGCTGCATGCCTCCTGTGGATGACAAAGACGTTTTGGATTACGACAGCGTTAATGCATTTCCCTTTCAACTCACTTTAAGGTAAAACCAAACACCATTGTTACTGAAGAACGACTGGGTCATCTATGTTCAAAAGTATATCTTTACCCTGGTGTCTACGTATAGAGAGAACAGAGTATGACCAACGTAAGCGGTGCAGTGAAGACCTCCTTTGCGGGGAGAATTTTTAATCGAGTACCTGGGTCTTCTGCAGTGACGTTGCATCCCTCTCAGCTAGGTATGGACCTGACGGGCAAGGCCGAAGCTCGCCTCCCAATGATCTAAATTATGTCGATTTTTTTTTTAAGAAGAGGGTACTGGGGTGATAAAATTGGAACGTATGGCGTCGATGGCCTTTAGTAATTAGGCTCTCGCACTGGCAACCATAAAGTCGTGGATTCAATTTTCTTCCCTTCACCCAGGTGGGAATACCCAGTTTTGACAGCGAAAGATCTTATTAGTTGTTTGTGTTTGAGCTCGCTGCTTGCACTGAATGCTTCCCTGGAAGCCGAGAATGCTTTTAAATATTCTAGCGTCTGGTGAGGTAATAAAATTATATAGTACAAAACGTGTATAGCTTGCTGCCGGGCGAGGATATGCGAGATGCAAATGCAATTCATTATTATTATTACTATATTCATTTTCCAAAACCCTGAATGGACACCAGTGCGTGATATGGGACTTAATTAAAAACCAGCGTTCGCTAGCTTTTGTTAAAGCGCCTTTTACTCTATGGACCTGGAGCTCGAATGGAGGTCAAACACGTTTGTGTAAAGTTTCCCTCGGTTTCTCCAACACAATGTGTTGGAAAGATAATGCACAGACAAACAATCACAGAGGAATAAAGGACTAATCCATAATCTTGCCAAGTCAGATTAAAAGAAACAAGTGAAAAGGCAGAATAAAATTAAAATAAATGATTGCTGATCGTTAAAAGAAAAAAAAAATCCTCTTCGTTATCGCACACCGGTCTAACCGCTACAATGCGCATTCGGAAAGAAATCGTTTGATCTACTTCCGGTTCTACATACGCCTGGTGTGGATGGCGTCATCGAAATGTGGGTATTGTCGATCAGAAATGCATTAGGAGTGCTGTGTGAATGGTTTGTTCTCGCTGTCGGGGAACAAGGACACTGGGCGCTAAGCCTGACATGAAAAGTCCATAGGGCGGTCTGATTTAGCAAGACAGTAATCGTCTATTTACTGTCTTTCTCTCCGCACGTTTGTTTCTAGAACCATTGTCAATGGCTATGTTGCGTTTATTTTTAGTACGTGCGATGGTGTTGTCGTTATTGCTTTTTCTGGCGACAGTAATGTTTTTTGTCGTTCTTGTTGTAATTGCTGCTGCTGCTGCTGCTGC